CCATCCATGGTGCTAATACTGGATCATTAGCTAGGTGCACCATCCATGGTGCTAATAATTACTGGATCATTAGGATCATTAGCTAGGTGCATTGTCCCTGGTGCTAATACTGGATCATTAGCTAGGTGCATTGTCCATGGTGCTGATACTGGATCATTAGCTAGGTGCACTGTCCATGGTGCTGATACTGGATCATTAGCTAGGTGTACAGTCCCTGGATGCTAATACTGGATCATTAGCTAGGTGTGCACTGTCCCTGGTGCACCGTAATGCTGATACTGGATCATTAGCTAGGTGCACTGTCCCTGGTGCTGATACTGATCATTAGCTAAGTGCACTGTCCATGGTGATGAAAGTAAATAATAAAACCCGTTCTTTTTCTGGTACTGAAACAATAAATAAAATGAGTAAATTGTCCATGAAGGTGAAAGTGCTAAAACAGTAACTACACTCCCCAAGTCATGAATCAAGACAACATGCTGAAACACAACAATTTCATGGCTCCTTTAGCGCCCAAGAATAGATTTACTCACGATTGTTCCATGCAATGTGCTGATTCAGCGGAGCTACGATGGATGGTTAGGACCTGGAGCTTCTCTATTATGAATCAGACATTTCTTACACCTTTATCATGGAGACCTTTAAGTTACTACTTAGCTTAAAGTGTGTGTTTTGCTCATTCAGGGAAACCCAACAGATTTGCTGTAATCCCCACTCCTACCTAGTCTGTACTTACCTTTTCTTTGCTCTCCCACCTCTCCATTCAGTACTGGGAGCTGAAGGAAATACCTACCATGTGGCAGCAATGGGTCAATGAGCAAGATCGTACAAGGAGCCCAAAGCACTGTGCAAGGTACAATTCCAGATTACACGGGACTTTCCTTTACTCCTGGTGGCTAAATGGAATGGTGGGAAAGGTAAAAGAAGATTGATATGTTGATGGGGAGGGCTAAGTTAAAGGGTTAGTCCTCCTTTTCCAAAAAAATTTAAGCAGGTGAAGGACTCCTGAAGATAAAATCAAGCTGCGCATGTCTGACTGAAGTTGGGTAATGCCCTTTCTATACAGTAGGTGTAACCCATTGACATACCTCCCAAAGCCTGGCTGAAAAAACTCCCACAGATGTCATCATCAAAGCCAGTGCCCCCCAATCAGCAGGGAGCGTGAGCTTGCTAAGTGCAGAGCTATAGGTCTAATTCAGCTCAGGGCATTACAGACCTCTGCGGGGAGACCACTGCTTGCCCCAAAAGAACTAGGGACCATCTCTGTACCATGTTTGCAGGGGAAGCAGTGGTCTTCCTGCAGAGGTCTGACATTGCTGCTAGTCAGAGCCAGAGCCCTCCAATCAGCAGGGAGCATGAGCTTTGCTGGGTGAAGAGCTATAGTTCTGATTCAACATGGGGCATGGTCGACCTCTGCAGACCACTGCTTGCCCCCAAAAGAACCAGAGTCGTTCTCTGTAGGATGTTAGCAGAGGAAGCAGTGGTCTCTCTGCAGAGGTCCATCATATGCTCTTCTGAATCAGACCTATAGCTCCGCATGCAGCAAAGCTCAAGCTCCCTGCTGTTTAGTTGGCTCTGGCTCTGACTTAGACATCTGCTGAGACACCACTGCTTCCCTACAGAGAGCAAGTGTCCCACTCTGTAGCATACTGGCAATGGACAGGTTTAGGGTTCTTCTCTGTAGCATGTTACCAGGGGAAGCAGTGGTCTCTCTACAGAGGTCCACCAAATGCTCTGCTGAATCAGACCTATAGCTCTGCACTCCTGCCCCTTCCTGCTGATTAGAGAGCTCTGGCTCTAACTTAGTAGCAGGTATGTCAGATCTCTGCTGAGAGACCACTGCTTCACCCCAAGGAGCCAGGGTCCTTCTCTACAGCATATTGGCACAGGGAAGCAGTGGTCTCCCTGCAGAGGTCCAACATATCCCCTGCTGAATCAAACCTATAGCTTTGCACTCAGCAAAGCGCATTCTCCCTGCTAATTAGACAGTTCTGGCTCTGACTTAGTAGCAGGCATTTCAGACCTCTGTTGAGGGACCGCTGCTTCCCCTAAAAAAAACAGGGACCCTCTCTATAGCATGTTGGCATAGGGAAGTGGTGGTGTCCCTGCAGAGGTCCAACATGTCCCGTGCTGAATCAGACCAAAGCTCGTGCTCCCTGCTAGTTGGACAGCTCTGTCTCTGACTTAGTAGCAGGCATTTCAGACCTGCTGAGGGACCACTGCTTCCCCTCAAAAAACCAGGGACCTTCTCTATAGCATGTTGGCATAGGGAAGTGGTGGTGTCCCTGCAGAGGTCCAACATGTCCCGTGCTGAATCAGACCAAAGCTCGTGCTCCCTGCTAGTTGGACAGCTCTGTCTCTGACTTAATATCAGGCATTTCAGACCTTGCTGAGGGACCACTGCTTCCCCACACAGAGACCAGTGTCCTTCTCTGCAGCATGCTAACAGGCGATGGGCTTTTCCACTTAGTGATTTTGAAAGTCCAAGAAGTTGATGCTGAAGTTTTGAGATGCCGCAGCGTACTTTATTCCCTGTTTTCTGGGTGGCCCCTTTCCACAGACGCACTTGGCATGGCTCTCCGCTGACAATCAAGCCTAAAAATCCTGCTTAATATTTGCAGCACGGCTTTGTGAAATAATATGAGAGGTTAGCAGGGGAAAAAAAACTTGTTCAGTCTCTCTGCTGCTGAATATTTCATGAGATTTCAAATGTGACAGGTCCACTTTCAACACGTTTTTTTGGGGCACTGAAAGCGATAAAACGCAGCAAACCGCCGAAATGCTTTTGCATCCTATTTGATATTTGTTGAAGGGAAATCTGAAGTAGACAACCTGTAGCTACACAGTGAGACATCGGGAAGGACCTTTCTTCACCCAGCCTGCCACGGGAAGAAAGCTCAGATGTCACCATAGTAACCTCCGGCACTTTCAGATCCGCTCACTGTAATTGTTCTGGAAGATAAAGGCGTTCTGCACATTCAGAGGAGCCGGGGCTCTGCCGCCTGCATCATATTGTACTGGGATTAGCAATGTGTCATCATCACATATAATCCTCCGCTAGATGGATCCCGCGCTGGGTCCTAAAGACGATCGGCCACTAATTAGGTTCGGTACGTACAGTATATCGCCAAAAGTATTGGGACCAGCCCTCCATATCATGTGATTCAGGTGTTCCAATCCCCTCCACATCATGTGATTCAGGTGTTCCAATCCCCTCCATATCATGTGATTCAGGTGTTCCAATCCCCTCCATATCATGTGATTCAGGTGTTCCAATCCCCTCCCAATCATGTGATTCAGGTGTTCCAATCCCCTCCCAATCATGTGATTCAGGTGTTCCAATCCCCTCCATATCATGTGATTCAGGTGTTCCAATCCCCTCCATGTCATGTGATTCAGATGTTCCAATCCCCTCCATATCATGTGATTCAGGTGTTCCAATCCCCTCCATATCATGTGATTCAGGTGTTCCAATCCAATCCCCTCCAAATATGTGATTCAGGTGTTCCAATCCCCTCCATATCATGTGATTCAGGTGTTCCAGTCCCCTCCATGCCATGTGATTCAGGTGTTCCAATCCCCTCCATATCATGTGATTCAGGTGTTCCAATCCCCTCCAAAATCATGTGATTCAGGTTTTCTAATCCCCTCCCAATCATGTGATTCAGGTGTTCCAATCCCCTCCATATCATGTGATTCAGGTGTTCCAATCCCCTCCATATCATGTGATTCAGGTGTTCCAATCCCCTCCACATCATGTGATTCAGGTGTTCCAATCCCCTCCATATCATGTGATTCAGGTGTTCCAATCCCCTCCATATCATGTGATTCAGGTGTTCCAATCCCCTCCATATCATGTGATTCAGGTGTTCCAATCCCCTCCATATCATGTGATTCAGGTGTTCCAATCCCCTCCATGTCATGTGATTCAGGTGTTCCAATCCCCTCCATATCCTGTGATTCAGGTGTTCCAATCCCCTCCACATCATGTGATTCAGGTTTTCCAATCCCCCCATATCATGTGATTCAGGTGTTCCAATCCCCTCCATGCCATGTGATTCAGGTGTTCCAATCCCCTCCACATCATGTGATTCAGGTGTTCCAATCCCCTCCATGTCATGTGATTCAGATGTTCCAATCCCCTCCACATCATGTGATTCAGGTGTTCCAATCCCCTCCATGTCATGTGATTCAGGTGTTCCAATCCCCTCCATATCATGTGATTCAGGTGTTCCAATCCCCTCCATATCATGTGATTCAGGTGTTCCAATCCCCTCCATATCATATGATTCAGGTGTTCCAATCCCCTCCATATCATGTGATTCAGGTGTTCCAATCCCCTCCATGTCATGTGATTCAGGTGTTCCAATCCCCTCCCAATCATGTGATTCAGGTGTTCCAATCCCCTCCATATCATGTGATTCAGGTGTTCCAATCCCCTCCATATCATGTGATTCAGGTGTTCCAATCCCCTCCATATCATGTGATTCAGGTGTTCCAATCCCCTCCATGTCATGTGACTCAGGTGTTCCAATCCCCTCCATATCATGTGATTCAGATGTTCCAATCCCCTCCACATCATGTGATTCAGGTGTTCCAATCCCCTCCATATCATGTGATTCAGGTGTTCCAATCCCCTCCCAATCATGTGATTCAGGTGTTCCAATCCCCTCCATATCATGTGATTCAGGTGTTGCAATCCCCTCCATATCATGTGATTCAGGTGTTCCAATCCCCTCCATATCATGTGATTCAGGTGTTCCAATCCCCTCCATGCCATGTGATTCAGGTGTTCCAATCCCCTCCATATCATGTGATTCAGGTGTTCCAATCCCCTCCATGTCATGTGATTCAGATGTTCCAATCCCCTCCACATCATGTGATTCAGGTGTTCCAATCCCCTCCATGTCATGTGATTCAGGTGTTCCAATCCCCTCCACATCATGTGATTCAGGTGTTCCAATCCCCTCCATATCATGTGATTCAGGTGTTCCAATCCCCTCCATATCATATGATTCAGGTGTTCCAATCCCCTCCATATCATGTGATTCAGGTGTTCCAATCCCCTCCATGTCATGTGATTCAGGTGTTCCAATCCCCTCCCAATCATGTGATTCAGGTGTTCCAATCCCCTCCATATCATATGATTCAGGTGTTCCAACCCCCTCCATATCATGTGATTCAGGTGTTCCAATCCCCTCCATGTCATCTGATTCAGGTGTTCCAATCCCCTCCAATCATGTGATTCAGGTGTTCCAATCCCCTCCCAATCATGTGATTCAGGTGTTCCAATCCCCTCCATATCATATGATTCAGGTGTTCCAATCCACTCCATATCATGTGATTCAGGTGTTCCAATCCCCTCCATATCATGTGATTCAGGTGTTCCAATCCCCTCCCATATCATGTGATTCAGGTGTTCCAATCCACTCCATATCATGTGATTCAGGTGTTCCAATCCCCTCCATATCATGTGATTCAGGTGTTCCAATCCCCTCCATGGACACAGGTGTATACAATCAGCCCCTAGGCATGCAGACGGCTTCTACAAACATTGGTGAAAGAATGTGTCGCTCTCAGGAGCTCAGTGACTCCAAGCGTGGTCCCGTGATAGGTGGCCACCTGGGCAATAAGTCCATCCGTGACATTTCCTGGCTACTAAATATTCCACGCTCAGCTGTTAGTGGGATTATAACAAAGTGGAAGCAACTGGGAACAACAGCCACTCAGCCACCAAGTGGTAGGCCATGTCACATGACAGGGCGGGGTCAGCACATGCTGAAGCGCACAGTGCGCAGAAGTCGCCAACTGTCTGCAGAGTCAATAGCTAAAGACCTCCAAACTTGGTGTGGCCTTCAGATGAGCCCAACAACAGTGCGTAGAGAGCTTCATGGAATGGGTTTCCATGGCCGAGCAGCTGCATCCAAGCCTTCCATCACCAAGTGCAATGCAAAGCGTCGGATGCCGTGGTGTAAAGCACGCCGCCACTGGACTCTAGAGCAGGAGAGGCGTGTTCTCTGGAGTGACCAATCATGCTTCTCTGTCTGGCAATCTGATGGACGTGTCTGGGTTTGGCGGTGGCCAGGAGAACGGTACTTGCCTGACTGCATTGTGCCAAGTGTAAAGTTTGGTGGAGGGGGATTATGGTGTGGGGTTGTTTTTCAGGGGTTGGGCTTGGCCCCCTAGTTCCAGTGAAGGGAATTCTTAAGGTGACATTTTGGACAATTTCAAGCTCCCAACTTTGTGGGAGGAGTTTGGGGATGGCCCCTTCTTGTTCCAACATGACTGCCCACCAGTGCACAAAGCAAGGTCCATAAAGACATAGAGGAGCCAGTTTGGGGTGGAGGAACTTGACTGTCCTGCACAGAGTCCTGACCTCAACTCCATAGAACACCTATGGGATGAATTAGGGCGGAGACTGCGAGCCAGAACTCCTCCCCTGACATCAGTGCCTGACCTGACAAATGTGCTTCTGGAAGAATGGTCCAACCTTCCCATAGACACCCTCCTAAACCTTGTGGATGGGCCTTCCCAGAAGAGTTGAAGCTGTTATAGCTGCAAAGGGCGGGGCCAACTCAATATTGAACCCTACGGACTAAGACTGGGGGGCCATTAAAGGTCATGTGTGTGGAAAGGGCGGGGTCAACTTAATATGAACCCTACGGACTAAGACTGGGAGGCCATTAAAGGTCATGTGTGTGGAAAGGGCGGGGTCAACTTAATATTGAACCCTACGGACTAAGACTGGGGGGCCATTACAGGTCATGTGCATGGAAAGGCAGGTGGTCCAATACTTGGGGCAATCTAGTGTATGTAAACTGTGACTATATACCTCCTGTTGGACCATTGTTAGTCTATTAAAGTGGAAATTAAGTTGGAAACAAATTTCAAACAGGCAGAGCCTTTATTGCAGAAAAGACATGCTAGGTGTCTTCTCCAATAGGTTCACACCTACAGTATGCATGACAACAACCAGCACAATATTGAGCGTTTTCCAGAAATGTGCTGCTCTTTAGCAGATGTGTGAGGATGCCATTCATTATTAAAGGGCACCAATCATGCATCGGCAGATGTGTGAAGGATGATCTGCTCCATCTAGTGGTCATAATGCAGCATTTTCCTGATTCACCCTATTCTGTGTGAATGAAAAACATTCGACCTGGAGAGAAAATAGCCTGATGACATTCATTGTTGCCTTCTTTCGCACTAATGTGCATGCCGTTTCTCAGGATGACAAACTCTAAATTTGTTTATGAATACACCCCTTACTGACTGTTTTTGCACTTTTGTACTGTCTGAAAACAATGTGGTATCACCTAAAATAACACCTGAATAATAACAGGGAGGCATGTGTATATAGAGTAGCATTCACGGCGCAGTAAAGACACAGAAGGTGAATTTGTGAAACAATAGAAAGTAAAAAAAATCACAGGAGCTGAAAAACAAAAAGATGTTCCGGTCGGCGATGCTTCTCCCGGAGACGCCATAATTATGTGGTACTGCGACACGCGGCGAGCACAGCTGCTGGTTTAGAGGAAGGTGTCATGCTGGTGTCTTGTCAAATCTCTGCACACCTGTGTGCTTTGTCATCTCATTTCTACACTTTACAGGAACAAAATCCGGCTCAGAAACATTCCGTTTCATCTGGAAGCCCAACAGTCTTTAAGCTCGCCGCGTTTCATTCGGCTCTCCAAAGGCAGACGCCTTTTATCTCACAAGCCGTGGGGCTCTCTGTCTGTAACAATGTTGCGTCTCCTTTTAATACATTTAAATTCTGACATCCATGGAAGTAAACCATTTTTTTTTTCAGGAAAATGTGTTTAATGAGATGGGGTGACATGCAACACGTGCTAAAGCAGTAAATTACATATAGAAAATAGATCCCCATATAGCAAAGAAACATCCCCATCCAGCAAAGCGACATCCCCATCCAGCAAAGAGATATCCCCATATAGCAAAGAGACAGCTACATCCAGGAACGAGACTCCCCATATAGCAAAGAGACAGCCAAATCCAACAAAGAGAAATCCCCATAGAGCAAAGAGACATCCCCTACCAGCAAAGAGACATCCCCATATAGCAAAGAGGCAGCACCATCCAGCAAAGAGACATCCTCATATAGCAAAGAGACAGCTTCATCCAGCAATAAGACTCCCCATATAGCAAAGAGACAGCCCAATCCAACAAAGGGACATCCTCATAAAGCAAAGAGGCATCCTCATCCAGCAAAGAGACAGCCCCATCCAGCAAAGAGACAGCCCATTCCAACAAAGAGACATCCCCATAAAGCAAAGAGGCATCCTCATCCAGCAAAGAGACAGCCCAATCCAACAAAGAGACATCCCCATAAAGCAAAGAGGCATCCTCATCCAGCAAAGAGACAGCCTAATCCAGCAAAGAGACAGTCACAGCACAGGCCCACATTCAGCAACATTGTCAATCAATTTATGATTGTGATGTCTAACAGTTTGTCTCCAGACCAGTCCACAGTGAGCACTAAGCAGTCCTGCAGGTTACACACAGCGCAGCTCTTCCACATGGCTAAGCTGCGACTGGTGTGGTGCCCAAACCAGCATCCCATCTGCAGAAAGAGAGGATATCATTCCACCTTCCCCCTGCAGCCAGAACTAAGTGAGCAGTATCAGCTCACTTCACAGCCGCCCTGCTTTAGCTATTGCTAGTTACTATATCAGCAACAACTTAGTCTTGTTGGTTGGAGCTGCTCTTGACGCTCGTGATGCCTGGGCCCCCTACATGTGTATGGGCTGTCCCCCCATGATGGCAGCCCTGTAGTGTTATAGACTTACCTTGCTCTACTTGGTTAGTCCTTTATTTTCCTGTCCGATGAAACCATTGTCACTGGGACAGGAAGTGAGGAGAAACTGCCTGAGATAGCAGGAAAACCTGACAAAGGTTCCAAATGTTCCCAATTTTACCTAAAGCTAAAAAAAACACATTTTAATGGACGTACCCTTCAACCTGACCCTCAACTCTTCTGTAGCAACCTGTTCATCTTTTGCTAACCTAACTACGCCAAACTAAATTGTGGCTGGTTGCCATGGTTTCTGCACCAGTATTTGTTCTTGTAGAAATAAGACAGAATGTGACGTTTCATATTATTTGGCTTATTTACAGGAAAATTGTGTTTTTTTGCAGCTGAAGTGAAATTTCAAGCAGGCAGACTGAATGATGTCTTGCAGACAGTTTGATTGTCAGTCTGCCTCATTATAGCAGTCACTCACCCCCCTGACTGTGCTATATAAAATTAAATGTTTTATTGTTATAAATAAAATATTAAATGAATCTTCCAGAAACTTCTCTCTTGGCAGTACAATGACATCAGACTAACCGTCCTTGGCTTCTCCTGTCCTATAATAAAGAAATCCTACAGTGATATAAATATATGATGTAAATATTATTACAGTGCTGGGTCCTACCGCTGCGGAAGAAGACGTTTATGGCACGCAAGGTTCTCAGTGGTGCAGACTGAGGGGCTCCAGAATGGCTGCGATGAGTGGAGAAAATTGGGTTGTTGGTTTTCTCCAGGTTTTGTGATTACCGGATTGGGTTCTGGAATCCAGAGGCTTCAAAGAGCTTTGGGAAGGGAACAAGCCCCTGACCTTGTGTCCAGGTTTTACCAGATACCAGCAGATATACACAGCCTTTATAGTCAAAGGCTTGACAGTAATTCAAGGCTCCATCTGGGAAACAGGAGGTTCCCTGCCCAGGTCAGGGTGTGGGCCAGTGCAGCAAGTAGCTGTGAGAGAGCCGAGAGCTATGAAAGCTGAGAGAAAGGTGCAGAGGTTGCACAGGAGCACAGCGGTGATGTGGGTTGGTCTGAGTATCCAGCCAAAGGACCTAAGCTTGAGACTTGAGCAATGGTGCTACCAGAGCAAACCAGGAGGCCGAAGTCTTTTATCTTCTTGTTTGATGGTGGAAACCCTTGCACGGGTAACCTTTCGTTTGGTGGATCTTTCGTTCTGAAATAGAAGTGGGCCAACAAGCCTTAAACAACATTTCCTGACTGGAGTGGACTCACTGGAAACACACTACACTTGAGTGATCCCACCTTTAATATCACAGTGTAGGTCGCTTGGTGAAATAAGTTTTAGGCTCCTTCTGTAATCAAGGGAGCAGCGATCGTTTGTCATGGTCTGTTCAGGGTTTCAAAGGGGATTGATTGCTTCCCCCTGTCTATGGAAGAAGCTTCAGGAGTTTAGGGCAGGAGATTCAAATGGCCAGCCTCAATGTTTGTCATGCTCTAGCCCAGTGGTGGGCAACCTTTTTTTTCAACTGAGCCAAATCTCGCCAAAACCATGATTGAAATTTATTTTGAGAGCCACATTTTTAAAACTGAAAATACATCTCCCATATAGTAATTCATCCCCCATAGTAATTCATCCCCCATATAGTAATTCATCCCCCATAGTGTAATTCATCCCCCATAGTAATTCATCCCCCATATAGTAATTCATCCCCCATCGTAATTCATCCCCCA